CTCGTCCGGTGCGCTCTCTCGACAGACCCGGCACCGAGCTCGCCTCTGCGGACCCGGAGACAGTACGCGATGCCGCCCAGGATCAGCATTGATCCCGTTTTCAGACGGGTACGAGCAAAGGCGGGACACCCCCGCCTTCTCACAGGCCTGTCGGGGGCACGAAGCGGGGGGCACACAGCCTAGGGCCGGGATAACTTGTGCCCCGTGAAGCCGGTATAACTTGTGCCCCGTGACTGATGGTCGGGGTTTGGCTCCGAACTTGGAAGCCCAAACACCACTGTGTTACCACAAGATTTAAAAAAACAGCATTGGCTTTACGTTTCTTGGCGAAAGAAAGGGGATCGCCCCGGTACCGCAGCTGGAGATCGTGTTAGCTAACTTTTTACCAGAAAGTGCAGAAAGAGTATGATCTAATTCGAGAAAGGTTTTTTTAAAAAAGCGCCTAGGCGTTGTCAAAGTAAGGGATCTGGTGGATTCTAGCTCATTTCTGCCCCTGTTACTTCACCAGAGATTCAGAAAAACATTTGTTTCTGAGTGGGGTCACCTCAGCTGAAGTGGCGGGGGGTTTAGGGCACCATGGGGTTTAAGGTCACACTGGGAAGCAGCCTCTTTTTTTTAACTCAGATACATAACAGCTGTCACCACAAAAACAGTAAAAAAAGGAGCAGAAGCACCGACTTCTACAAAATTATCCAGTGTGTTTAGTTACAGTTAACATTACCTGGGAAGGAACCCTTGTTTGCTGGGAAACAACATGTTCTTGACTTCACTTGCCCCATTCGTTAAGACCTTTAGTGTAATAACAATACATCGAATCCCAAAGTGAAAACACTGCTCTAAACGATAGAAATTTTATTTCCTTTTCCAGTTATGCTTGGCCCATGTAGATCTGTGTTAGCTATATTATCCTATTAGATATTTCTTACTAATTAGAAAATTACACAGCTTTGTGAAGTTCCTCTTAACGGAAGGCAGCAGCCCTAGGGAAAAAAAAAAAAACAAACACGTACATGCACATATATATGTCTATATAAACCCACCTATTATTAAGGAAACAGCTGGTGTGAAAACCTTATTCATATTATCAGCCCTACCTGCAGAACCACCTTCATGATTGATGAGGAATTTAGGCTATGTCATGTGTTCTGCCAAAGTTACCACAGCTGAGAAGCTACAATCCTGCTGTAGCTGTGGTTGTAGCTTGTGGATGGTTTCCGTTTTACTGGTAGAAACCGGCAACAAATAAATTAATCGCAGGAGGTAATCAGAAAATAGTGAGGTTTTGGGTTTACTGCTATGGCTCTATGTTTGAAAGGTATAGGACTAAAATAAAAGCAGGTTATCTTCATCATCAGTTATTTGAGATCCACAGTGCTCTGTGGGTTAACTTTTCTAGGAGGTAACTTCACAGGTGGGGTTTTTTTTGCTGTCTGCAATCTCAGTTTTACAGCCTGAAAGCAGTTCGGTTTGTATCATCTTCAGAGTAGGTGTCTGCTGCTTGGAAACCTTTCAGAATGATGAGTTTCATTGAATTATTCCTTTGGCATTTTTAAATGCCTGATGATATTTTTAGGTCTGGGGTATAGATGTTCCCTCCGAAAGGGCAGAAACATGGCCGGGAAAAGCACCAAGTGGCTTTGAGACATGGGTGGTAGCAGATTGCCTTTCATCGCTTGGGAAGGCTGTGGGAAGGCTGGGCTAGGAGAAGAAAAGGCCATTAAGTTCTGCTGCACAGCAGGCTTTCCCTGCACTGCTTGTGGAAAGGCTTTCCTAAAGTACGGTTTAATTCCTGTTAAGTTGTTCATTTGACGTGAATTTTGTCGGCCTGCTAAGGTTCTTGGCAGCGAAGTTGGGTGATAAAGAGCTGACCCTGGGATGCCATACACAAAATTGCAGAGGAGGTAACGCCACGTCCCCCCAGGCAGTCGCTGCAAAGTCACCCGAGGCCACAGGCTGGAGAGGCTCCGCAAAGCTTCGCGGTTCCACGCGGCGCTGGGGAAACCATCCTCAGTGTGATAAAGCTGAGAGAAATAGATGCAGAGAGCGATTTCTGGATATTTCAGCAAGAAGTTGTAGATTTTACTTATGCAGAAGTGGTGAGCCTCGTTACAAGGAGAGTAATTTGAATAGAGGATGATGCAGCCGATGTTTTCACAGGCACCTGCAACTGCATCCAGATAACCGCCCACCTCAAAGAGCATAGATTCTGGGTGGTTACCTTGGTCAGTACAGTTTGTAGCATGGCCTTTTTGGATTACCGCGGCTGAGAAACTCCTCAGTTCGTAGAAGAGAAGGTGATTGTTTTGGCAAGTTGCTGTTGATCTGTATGGGAAGCCAAAGACCCTATGAAATTCTGTGCAAGGGACTCTCGCTTCTTCACCGGTCCGTATGTGGTAGGGACACTTAGCACAGATGCAGTTCTGTCTCTGCCAGCAGTAGGGCTTTACCACAGTCCCCTGATTTGTCAAATATTCTTGGAAAATTGTCTGCTCTTCTGGATACATGTTCTGTTGAAAAATCACCCTGTTGATGTACTATATAGCTGACAGTCCTGAATGCAAAAAGAAAGTAATATTTTAACTTAACCCTTCAGTTTGTTTTTGCATTTAAACTGCAAAAATAATGGGGGGTAGTTTCTTAAAAACTGTACCAAAACTTGTAGCAGGACATAAAAACTTGGTCGATAACATAAAGAACAAAGCTCTCTTGCAGCCTGGGAGCATTTTTAATTTTCACAAACTAGCCTTTTTGCTAAAAACACAAGTAAAAAATATTTCTTTGGCTTCTGCCCTCTTACTCTAAGCAGGAAAAACTGTATAATAAACCAGCCATAGTTTTCAGGAATTGATTAGTAGATGAGCTTTATGCAATCTGGCAAAACAAACAAGTAAGTACAAACACAAAAAGAAAAGGTATAATTACCATCTCAGAAGCTCCAGCTCAGGGTAAGAGTAAACATTTATCTGATTTCCTTCACTGGCTTTTTAGGATTCAGTCAGAGTCTCCACTTTAGTGATTATTGCAAGCTTTCTTTTCAAAATTAGGTGGTGAAGAAGAAAGTTACTACTTCTTCCCTGGTTTTGGCAGTTCAGCTGTAGAAGGATCTTTCCCAGTTACCCAGTGCGGTAACTTTGCTCCAGCTGTAATGGTGACGGCAGGCGGGCTCCTTTAGGTGTTTGCAGGTCCCAAGTGCTAGGAGACGAGAATATAAACAGGATTTTCTTTTGTACAGCCAGCCACCTGGGGGAGTTAAGCTTCTGTTCTTTGCCTGTCGATATTTTTTTCCTATCTGATTAACTTTCCTTTGTTTCTTTAGTGCTCTTTTGGTACAAGGTTGTTCTAGCTGAAAGGTGGGTGTTGTTCAAACAACTACATTACTATATGTGTTTCCAGGTGATTGTTATTTCTGTGTGTACCTGTCTGTTGTGCCAGCTGGGCAGAAAGCTCCTGTTGTGCTTCTGCTCTGGTATGCAGGCAACAACATTGTCCCGTCTTTAAGAAGTTTGTGTCTGTCCCTCACTGAGACTGTAATTCAAGCAAGCAGTGGGCCATCTCGTGAGTAAGCTAAATCATGCCTGCTTTACTTGGGCAGGGTTCCAGATGAGTGCGAACACAAGTTTTGTGTAGATGAACAACTTTTGGCTCAAGCGCTGAGGCAGATAATTCTTTTTCTTTACTGCTGCTCTAATTGAGCCACTCATCATCCCCGGATCCAGTTTCATTCTGTTACTACTTTTCTGACAATGTACAACTTTTCCATCTGCATATTTTATTACAGCTTGCTTCTGCATTCCACGTTGTTTTGCCTTCTGACTGTCAGTATTTCATTTCCTTCTTAAATTACTAATTTAATTCATTTGCTTTGTTTTCCACTCCTGACTCTATGCCAACTTCCATGTATTTTCCTGTGTTGGAGCTCTTTCCTGATCCAGGCCATTGTGCTGTTCTCATCCAGATTACTTCTAAAGATCGGCTTCCTGACATAAGAATGCTCCATTTGTCATTTTTGATGTTTCTGTACATTTTTGATGTTCAGTTGTACACTACACTGTGCATTGCAACATAATCGTGGGAGCAGTGTGTCTCAGAAAATGAAAAATGTGTTTGCTACCTAACACAAAAAAGAGCAGGTCTGAAGAAGGGAGCGTTTCTCTTTGTAGAGGGACGTTATGCGAGAGTTATCACCACCTCCTCAGTTCTCCTGCAGGTTGCCAGTATTTTTAAAGACAATTTAAAATGCTGCAAATCTGGGGCAAGGTTCCAATTCTGTCTCTGCCGGTATTTTTGCTGGAATGGCCACATGATGGCAATGATGTTGCACACCAGAGATGTAGCCCATTTTATGCTTGCTTGTTGGTCGGGGCAATGGCTTGAACTTTGTTTCAGTGTGTTTAAAGGGAAGCCACTAGAGACCTAAAATTTTACATCTCCCTCTAAAACTTTCCTTGTTTGTTTGGTTGGTTGGTGTTTTGGCCTGACCAACACTGAGCAAATATTGTCTTCTCAATTAATAGCGTCGCATTTTTACAGGATGGGAGTCAAATCCTGAACTCCCCAGTTTGGTGGATTCAGTGAACAGCGTTGCCTCAACACAAGCTCATTTCTGTGTGCGCTGCACCGGCCTTTGGCTCCTTTGCCACCGCTGTCCCTGTGAGCCTGCTGGGGCTCGCAGTGACAAGGGCTGCTCGCTCTGCCTCTGCGGGCTCCAGCCTTCCCACCCATCCGAACCCTCTGCCAGCTCTGACGAGCAGAAAGGGCCAGGGAGCAAAATCCCGATGAATTTGGGAATATAAATGGCAGAGAATTCTCATGTGTGGTGTGTGTGTAGTCCCATAACCGATCACTTTGGGGGTGCAAAGAGGAAGGATGTTTACAAAAAGTGTAAGTCGAGCACGATGGAAGAAAGGTGACCACAGAATAGACCCATTTCTGATGTATAAGAAAGCAGAAAGTTGTTTTTTTCTTCCTTTTTTTTGCATGATTTTTTCTAAAGTAGTAAAAAAGGTGCAAATGTTTTACACAATATCTCTTAAACTGATGTATGTATGCATGTACAAATGGATTAAGCAGCTAATAGGACCACTCGTCACTCAGCTCTTGCAGAAAAAGTTCTGTTCCCGTGCATAACTTTATTTAGTAGTACTGAGCAGCTCAGTAGCATTTGTCATCTTCAAAGTCGTTTATAAATCTGACCAAGTGGTTAAAATATAGACTGGTCTAAATGTCTCTTTTCCTGGTATATCTGCTGCTCAGTGTCACTTAGACCCTGTGCAGGGGAAATTGTTAAAGTGGCTTCTGCCTTGCAGGGTGCCTAATTTGTCACAGGGATCCTGATGCATCTGCAGAGGTAGTAAATGCTGCAGACTTTAGCTGAACTTTATAGTTTACCTTAGAAATTTGGAATTCAGATGGTTTCAGGCTGGGAGATAAAAAATGAAGGTACTCAAAATGACTTCTCCCTTCTGGTAACTTTTATCTGGATTTCAGTGTTTGCAATTCTGATTTGGTGGGGAGAGGGGGCAGAATTTTACCTTATCAGGTGGCCAGTTTGGTTCTGTAGTTCATTATAAGATGGCTCCCCTAATGCTTGTCTCCAGTACCCCCTTTTTGGCACTAACCAGTTGTAAAGTGCTTTGAGATCTTCAAAATACAGGGTGGACTGCAGTGTTGTATGGTGATGTGTAGCTCATTCTGTTAATTCTCTTTATCCTTTAAACACAACACACCAATCAAAATAGTCAATGCCCTGGTATAAAAGCAAGGTAGCCAAAATGTTCTTTTCCTTTGTATGGTTGTCCCATGTTTTTGAGCAGAAAGGTTGCCTGTATCTTCTCTGATATTAATCTTTTTCAACACCCAGCCCTTCCTGAGCCCATAGACTGTTCCATATCCTCAGAAAAAATGCTTGATATTAAATATGCTATATGGACCTAAGGGTAGGTCTTTGAACACTTGAAGTTGTTAGGAAACATACCATCTTCATTTATCAATTTCATTGCATGAAAACATCATCCTGATATAGATCGTGTCTAATGGATATGATTAGGAACTCAAAACACATGTTAAGGAATGAAACAGATCCATGTCCCCTCCAATTATGTTTAAAACTGTAATTATATCCCTGTTCTTCCCAACTATATTTGCAGGGGACAGGGATATAATTATAATTAAAAAAAATTGTTTCACTTATGACTGAAGCGCAGCCATCTTTGGGGCAGAGGGCAGTAGCTGTTAAATAGTTTTTCACAACAAGGTATAGATGTTCACAGGAGGAACTGGAGAGGAATGCTTTATCCAGTTAAAACCACAGGGGAAACTTATGTGGTCGGTTCGTAATTACTCAGGATGGAAGTTAGCCAGGATACAAGCCATATGTTCTGCTCCTAGGGAAAAAAAGCGTAATGATCAGGTTTGTGCATTTTTTTATCCGAATATTAGCTGAAACCTGGTATCTCTTCAGGCTAAAAAGTTCTGATCCATCCCAGCATGGCCAATCTGGAGCTGATACTGGTTCTACTGATTAAAACATGGGATACTGAGATTGGTGAAGATGTCTTTTGGAAGCAAAGTTGCATGCATTGATTAGGCGAAAGCTATTTTTTCTGATGTGTGATTATATGGAAGGATGATGATTTATTTATTCCCCAAACTAAAACATGATCTACTTCCATAGTCTAGTACAAGTGTAGCTCTGTTTATGTGACGGCATCTGGTGCTTCCCCCCAGAGCGCTGCACTCAGTGTAAGAATGGTTCCTTCTTTTGCTGCTGAAATATGAGTGTTGAAATTCTGTTGCATTTCTCGGTACGGCTTGGTTCAAAATAATCTCTGTTGGAAAGCATTTTACACATGACTTCATTCAGTAAGAAGTTTATCTGAGTTCAAAGTACAGAGGAGTCACATGGTCCTTAAACAGCCAGACTTGACGTTCTTGTGCAGTCCTAAAATTTTAAAAATAAGAAGTGAAGGAAGAAGCAGAATGCTCTCCAAAACTGCTAATAAACACACCCACAGGGACAATTTAAACCTGAGCCTGTTTTGGCATAACCTGCCTCCACACTCAACAATCTCAAGTTCATTTAACATGTGAGTTTGGGATATCTAGTGCCACAGGAACGCTGGCTCACAGCTCCAGAGCAGAGCCCTGGTATTTTGCATTCTGCCATCGGGCTGTAAAGATTAGCGAGGATTTAGATCCTGAGTTTGGAGCGTTTCCTGCTCGAGCTTGTGTGAAAGTCAGACCTTCACAAAACTGTTCCACCAAACTTTCCTCACCTGTCTGGTCCAGCCTCAGAGTGGTTTAAATTATCACCTCGCTTCCAGAGATTTTTCCAGGGCTCCATTACTTTTTTTTGTTTGTTTCCCTTTCTCTCTCTTTACACCTAAAAATAAGTTTTTTTCCCTTGTCTGTGTATTCAGAGGGGAATTTAAAAACACAAAGTTCGGTTATTTTTAAATCTTCCATCCACTGATAAATTTATGATGCCTCTGATAACGAACAGCGT